TTCACATCTGATATCCATTTCTTCCACATATAAAGTAAAATAAATATCTACTAATATTCCACAATGAATATTATTCAGAGTTGTGATGCTGAAAGACGTCAATTCTTTACTCTCTAAGTAAAATACTCTACACCATCCATTACCTTTTTGCCTGATTTTACAAGGATCTCAGCAGTAATGTGAGACTTACACCTCTGTTGCTTTTTTCTAACTTTAACAACTTGTAACAGTCAGCTTTGTATTGGAAAACATTATTTTGTGTGTGCTAGCTCTAGAAAATATCTTTTTGTTTATTATGAATTTATCATTTTCAACTTACATGCAAAACAAAGTTTCAATGGCTTCATAACAAGAATTCACAAAAAAAGCCAACACTTCCTTGGGTTTGGACACTACAAAAAAATAGCTAACTATGAGGCCAGCATCATTCTAATTCCAAAATCAGAAAAAGACATTACAAAGAAAAAAAACTATAGGCCAATATCCCTGATGAACATAGATGCCAAAATCCTGAACAAAATACTAGCAAATCAGATCCAGCAACACATCAAAAAAATTATTCACCATGACCAAGTGGGATTCATCCCAGGGATGCAAGGCCAGTACAATATTCGCAAATCAATAAATGTGATATACCACATAAATAAAATAAAGACTAAAAACTACATGATCATATCAATAGATGCTGAAAAAACCTTCGACAATATCCAGCATCCATTTCTGATAAAAATGCTCAGCAGTTTGGGAATAGAGGGATCATATCTCGACATAATAAAGTCCATATATGAAAGATCTACAGCCAACATCATATTCAATGGGCAGAAACTAAAAGCATTTCCCTTAAGAACAGGAACAAGACAGGGATGCCCACTTTCGCGACTCTTATTTAACATAATACTGGAAGTCTTAGCCACAGCAATCAGACAGGAAAAAAAAATAAAACGGATCCAAACTGGAAAAGAGGAAGTTAAACTGTTATTATTCGCAGATGACATGACACTATACGTAGAAAACTCCAAAGACTCCATGAAAAATTTACTAGACTTAATAAGTGAATTTGGCAAAGTAGCAGGATACAAAATTAACGTCAAGAAATCGATGGCATTCTTATACACCAATGATGAACTCACAGAAAGAGAAACTAAGAAAACAATCCCATTTACCACTGCGGCAAAAAAATTAAGATACCTAGGAATAAACTTAACCAAAGAAATAAAGAACCTATTCGCAGAAAACTACAGGTCATTGAAAAAAGAAATAGAGGAAGATATAAAAAAGTGGAAGCACATATCTTGTTCATGGATTGGAAGAATTAACATCATTTAAATGTCCATACTATCCAAAGCAATCTATAGATTCAATGCAATCGCCATCAAAATAACAACGACATACTTCACAGAACTAGAACAAATGCTTCAAAAGTTCATATGGAACCAAAAAAGATCCCAAATAGCCACAGCAATCTTGAAAAGGAAGAACAATGTAGGAGGAATCATAATTACCAGATTTCAGGTTATACTACAAAGTGAATGTAATTAAAACAGCCTGGTACTGGCACAAGAACAGACATATAGACCAGTGAAACAGAACAGAGAACCCAGAAATGGACCCAAGGCAATATGCTCAATTAATAGTTGACAAAGGTGGCAAGAGCATACAGTGAAGTAAAGACAGCCTCTTTAATAAATGGTGTTGGGAAAATTGGACAGCTATATGCAAAAAAATGAAACTACACCATCAACTTACACCATATACAAGAATAAACTCAAAATGGATAAAAGACTTAAATGTGACTCATGAATCCATAAAAATCCTAGAAGAGACTGTAGGCAACAAAATTTCAGACAGAATACGCAGCAGAATTTTCACTGACACATCACCTAAGGCAATAGAAACAAAGGAGAAAATGAACACATGGGACTACATCAAACTCAAAAGCTTCTGCACAGCAGAAGATACAATCATGAAAATGGAAAGGCAACCCACTGTATGGGAGAGCATTATTGCCAATGATATATCAGAGAAGGAGTTAATATCCAATATATATAGAGTGCTCATACAACTCCACAAAAGGAAGACAAAGAAACCAATTAAAAAATGGGCAGAGGAACTAAATAGACACCTCTCCTAACAGGACATACAAATGGCCAAGAGACATATGAAGAAATCCTCAACATCACTAATCATCAGAGAGATGCAAATTAAAACAACTATGAGGTATCACCTCACACCTGTCAGAATGGCCGCCATCAACAAATCATCAAACAACAAGTGTTGGCGAGGGTGTGGAGAAAAGGGGACTCTAGTACACTGCTGGTGGGAATGCAGACTGGTGCAGCCACTATGAAAAACAATATGGTGTTACCACAAAAAATTAAAAATTGAACTTCCATTTGACCCAGTGATCCCACTTCTAGGAATATACCCTAAGAAGCCTGAAACACCAATCACAAAGAATATGTGTATCCCCATGTTTGTAGCAGCACTATTTACAATAGCTAAGATGTAGAAACAGCCCAAATGTCCATCAGTAGACAAATGGATAAAAAAGCAGTGGTACATATACACAATGGAATACTATGCAGCTGTCAGAAAGAAAGATCTCTTATCCTTTGAGATGACATGGAGGGACCTGGAAAGTATTATCCTAAGTGAAACAAGCCAGAGAAAGACAAGTGTCATATGATCTCACTTATTTGTGGAATATAATGAACATAACAGTCTGAGGAATGGGGTAGCCCCAGAGACGTGGAAATGGGGTACACAGTATCCACAGAAGAGGGGGTCGGGGGGAGATAAACCACAGAACTTATATGCATGTATGCATGAACAACAACGGACATGGACAACAAAGCGGGGGAGAGGGCAGGGAGGGAGGGGGAGGGAGGAATCAGTGGGGGGAAAAGGAGAAACATCTGTAACAAAAATAAATTAATTTAAAAAAAAAATAGCTAATAAGTACAGTTTCCAGATATTTAATTTATATGAACTTGTCCTTGTTAGTTGTTTACACAAAATTCAACACATACAGATACACTTGTCTTGGCACACAGATTTTAATTGAATATTTACTCTGCAGTGTTTATCACAACCAACCTTTACAATGATTTTACGATTTTTTTTAAAATACATTTTACTGGTTAGTAGTATCCACTACTATTTAACAATTTGAAAACTAGTCTATTTTGTGAGTTAAGGATATAATGCAAACTAACAGTAAATACAAAACAAAACCAAAAAAAAAAAAAAAATCAGATGAAAAAAAAACATAAGTTTGCTTTTCCTGGAAAAGCAATCTGAAAGCAAAAACAACCTGCATCCTGTTTTAAATGTTAGCTACACCAAATGACCAATTCAGTCCTTGCAGTACGGGCAGTTAAAATTAAAAACAAGTTATAAAGGTTCCTTCGGAAAAAACCTAAGCTTCCTGGCACCAACTATGTGTTTTTCTTTCTTACAACCAAAAAAAAAGAAAAAGAAAAAGAAAAATTATGACCCATGTTCTTGAGGAAGATAAAATTTAGTGTCTTTTCCTATTGGAGACAAAATAAAATATTCATAACCTTGAAGCCCTTTGTCTAGCCTTCACTTAAGAAGAAACTTGTCTCTTTATAGCTCAGTAAAATTAAAGAACGTGGTAAATGGATTTTACTGTAAGCAGAAGTCATTAGTAGCCATTCTGTGGGTCTAAAAATTCTCCCTGTGCACAGAAATTCTACATAGAACTTCACCTATAGGATATGGACATACTCTGTTAATTGTCCTCCAATCTCCACACAAACAATTTCAGAGTCTAGGACCATTATAACTACTGGAACTGTCCACTTTCATCCAGAGGACTGAAAACAGGGTAATATTTAAATATTTTGCACATTGCATTTACTGGGAAACAAAGAACGTGTAGAACTCTTTAATTGGTCTCTCAGTGTCATGAAATCTGTTTCATTTTTATGAAAATCTGATTTTATTTTATGAAAATAAAGGATGATATAATCCAGAAAGTACAGATTTCCCCAAACTTCAGACACACAGACAGTAGCATAAAAAGTAACCGATTGATATAAAAAGAGACTATAAAATTCATACATTATTCTGACATTTGCAAAATGTATTTAAACAAAATTTCTTTACTGTAGGGTATTTGGTATTGTAAGGGATTTGAAGACTACAATATTAATGACACAAATCTAAGATAAATGTGGCTGAACAATCATTTACTACTTATTAAATTAAATTGAATACAGTAATCAGTAATCAATCTCTCCAGGGGCTTCAGGTTTTACTATGTTAAAATGCTATCTCCTATCATAAATTGCACTTCTTTGTATACATTTAATATTTAATACTTTATGTTTAATACTTTTTGTAACAGTCTTTCACAACGTCAAGCGCTTGGAGAACAGCAATATCACCCATCTTTTTTAAAACACTTTCTCACCAACAGCAAAATAAAACTCATGAGTTTAAATGATTTAAGGTAATAAGACAGACTCCAATTCAAGTCTGATTTCAAATGTGATGCTGTCCTTCTATGTGAAACTGTTTTCTAACGTATTTACAGAGTATCAAATACTTAAAAGGCACTCTCTGTTAGGACAATCACCTTGGAAAACTTAATGTTTATGTTCAGATGTCTAACCACTAAAGAAACATACTATCAAAATTCTTGCATCTATCTACACTGCTTAAGGATAAGCAGACATTTGAGCACCTCAGTAAATAAATGGTATTAAAATAAATTTAAGGCAAAGTGTTAACAATTCAACAGAGCCTGTAACAATAAGGAAAAAAAAGCCTCGTATTCTAATTTATAATTCCCACACATAATTGTCAGCTATCATATAAAGAACTGACTGCATGGACCAGTAACTGGTAACTTCAGTGGGAAGTTTCTGTACTCAGCTTCAAAAGGTTGTGTAATTTTTCTTAACAATTTATGAACAGTACAAAATATCCTTCTGTTTTGACTCAATTTAACAGTAAAGGAGTTATTTACATACTCTTCTTAATGTTTTTAGTTTGTGGATGTGGCTGAATTCCTCCAGCTGGAAGTCCATAGGTGCTTATTCGTTGTACAAGACTTGCTACATTCCCATGCCTTTCACGTCTGATGGGCAAACTGCCATCCTTGGATTCTGTCTCTCTTTTAATTTCCTATAAAGGAGGAAATCAGTAAATAGGCAAATTAAGTTATATTTATTAAATTAAATTCTCTTATGTAAAATACCAAAACACAGGTACAGTGATTATTATATAAAACGTGATTATCAACAGTTTTCAAACTTTTTCTCTGCCCACACAAATTCTTAGATAGCATTCTCAGCTCACAGACATTACAAAATCTGGCGGCATTAAGATTTGGCCAGTGGGCCATACATAGTTTCATGAACCCTGTTCTAAGTCAGAGGCTAACAGAAGATATGCAAACCTTCATGAAAAGAAGTATAAAATTTTATTGGAAGACACAAAATAAGACAAAAGGGAAGTTATGGCATGTTCAGTGATGTTAAAATCTCAGTATCACCAAGATATCAAATCTCCTTAAAACTGATGTAATGATGCAATGAAATTCCAAATATATCTCACAGATTTAGGAAATCAATTTAATAAACAGGTTCTAAATTTGTATAGAAGAAAAAATGGCCAAGAAGAGCCAAAATACTTCAGGGAAGAGAAAGTGAGGGGACTTCTCCTTTTTAACTAAGACATAAAGAAGAACTGTATGACACTATAAATTAGTACAGTACTGGCATAAAAACAGACATACTGATAAAACAAAATAAAAAGTCCATAAACAAACAAACTTGATTTATAACAGACAGAAAGTTGGAAAAAACTGAATCTTAAAATACATGGTGCTTGTAAAACTAATGTTCCCTATGTAGGGTGTAGAGAATGAAACTGGATTCCTACACCTCACACATCTGATATTTAAATTAACCATTAAAAAAAGTGAATCACTAACCAGAAGATATTTTTCACCTATAAAGTTAACAAAGAATTTCTATCTCCAGGTGTTTGTGCTAACCAGTTGTTACTCTCTAACTAGTAGAATTTCAGATGATTTTGATTCCTTTATACTAAACAAAAGTGTTTGATGCTTGCTTTCTTTAAAAAAAAAAAAAAAGCTTATCATTTTGCAATCAAATATTTTTCATTTTGGGAAAACTGTTAAGTTGGTAGAGAATTGTGAAAAATTATTAAAGTACAAATCACACAAGACAAAATATAATATAGACAGCCTGCTTCATTTCTATGGGTAATGCACTTAAGGAAAAATACTTCAATTTGATGTTAATAATACATGACATATCAATATTTGAAAACCTCACAATTTTCAGACTGCACTAAGTATTTTCAGACTAATACAAACATAAAATCTATGTAAATGAAGACTGGTAGTTACAAACTCAACATGCTAAACAGTATTCATTTTGGATTCTCGTGTCTCAAGAGCTACCTATGTTTTAAACAACAAAAAAGGTCATATCTCTGAGAGCTACTGTTGCTTTCTATTACAAAATACCAACAATTTAGGTTGACATTCAAATCTTGTTCTTCTAGGAAAGTAATGTTAATTTAACCTAATGTGATTACAAGTACAGGTTCAAGAGACAGATGACCTGTGTACAAATTTTGGAACTATCCTGTTTACTAGTTACATAGCTTTAGATATTTATATTATCTTTCAATAAAAATTAATTACGTGAATAATTATATTTAAATAGACAATTTTTCTCGTTTCAAAAAAAATTAATTTACAACATACTGCTCAGTATCTAGAAACATTTTAAGGACCTTCAAGTTTCTTTGAAATATAATCACATCCATGAATATTAAATATAAAAAATCTGAGAACAAAATATACAAAATGAAAGGGAGAAGCAAACTGAAATATATATACAATCTACCCTAGATAGAGAAAACTCAGGTTCAAAATACATAGTGCCAACTAAGAGGTTACCGCAGTAACCTCTAGGCTATAAGCAAACTACAAATGAAGTTTGCGCTGGATTCCTCCTCCACCTCTTCCTGATACTGTCTACCTACCACCAGGCATGCACCTACTCTGCTCTCTCGCTCTCTCTCCCCCTCCCTCCCTCTCTCATTCCCTCCCTCTTCTCCCTCTTTTCCTTCCCTCCTCCCCCTCTTCCCCTCCCCCTTCTCACCAACCTACTCTCTTTTCTAGTTCCTGGACACATAGTGCCTCCAAATTACTCTTTGCCTATCATCTTCAACAGCAATTTTATTGAGTACCCACGAAGCATTAGTAAGGTTTCCAGTGTTTCTTCTTTCTTCTGCCCTTTACTGCCTTCTACTCAATCAGCCAGTAAATAAAATACATATTAATCTCATAGCATCCATTTTCTCCCAGCTTCACTTCCTTTTCTGACTTTGAAAATTGCTCCAGGAGATCCCGTTTAAAAAAAAAAAAAAAGGGGTCCTCACTTACAGAGTATCAGGTCTTGACAAAGCAAACTCAGAAAAGCTCTGAATCTCACTCCACATATGGAGGAAAGCCTCCAACATAGTAAGTAATCCAATTTTCACTCCAAAATTGGCCAAGAAAAAAATACAATGGGGATACTTTCCAAATAGATAAAAATGTACTACATTGATTAATTTTATTTTATAGATAAGGGGTAAAAAGTAGCAAATTAAAGGAATATAAGCAAATGAAGGAGCTAACAAGATTGGAGAAAATATAGTTATTCTTTGCCTATTAAGGTAATCAAAGATAATTAACTCTGACTGCACTAACCAAAAACAGATAACTTAAAAGATGATCAAGAAAATTCACACACCTTTCCTTCATGTTGTAATATATCTATACAATAATTCCATTATCTGATCATGGCCAGTGAATGATCATGATTTGAAAATAGAAATCAATTAACTTCTATATTAATTAAAGGTCACAAAGAATAAAAACCAGATAAGAGGGCAAGAGCTTCTTTTTTCTTAAAAGAAAGAGGGCTATCTAATCTCCAAATTCCTAAACAGAGTTACAGATGTGTTTATGATCATTAAAATTAAGAATAATATACTTAATTATTTTTAATTCTACATTCAGTATTTCCAAAGAGTGTTATATAGAACTACAACCTCCAATACAGAAACATAAATCAGAAGATATGAAAAAGTGGCATTATTAAGAATAAGGCAAATTTGGTACCCATATGCTGTTCCAGCTTTGACAGCATCAACATTAGACCCACATTTAAAAAATAAGGTTTCCAACCTAAGAAAATGGTTCACCCCATTCTTAAAGTTTTTGCTTTGTAGTACATAAGTGATAGTATATAAGGAATGATACAGAAGGAACCACCTAAAGGTCATCGGATTTTTCTTTTTATTATCATTAAACTAGATATTCATTCACACACACACACACACACACACACAACCTTAAGTACAAAGTAAAATGGCCAACAGAGGAAAACCTCCTAATATGAAATCAATGTGTACTTTCTGAGTGCTAACATATCAGAACCATCAAGGAAAACAGCAAAGATATAATACAGAAAGACTGTTTTACAAGGACTATTTTCTCCTCCCCCAAATAAGCTATTCTCCATTTAACTGCTGTCTCCCTACAGCAGTGTTCCCTCCCCATTTGTAAAGGGGAGTAGGAAAGGAGGGGTAGCTATGCACATTCATTGGCATCCTACTCCTTTCCTTTTCTTACCACCAGAATGTTACTGACAGCCAAGTGAAGTAGAGTGGAAAAAACACTAAAGAAAGAACTCTTCTCCTCCCCATATTCTTTCAGACATGCCACACTGACCGAAATGAACTGAAAATACCCCAGTAATTTATAATGGTCATATTTTTTTCACACTAGTTTTATTAATTTTTTTAAAATGCTATTTGTGCTTTCAGCCTTAGGATGAAGGGGTTTTAGGGTAAGAAGAGCAGGGAATGAGGGCTGGTGTATCTATGACTCAAATACACCAGGCCTGCATGGAGACCCTTGCCTCAAGCTGCTGGACTCCTCAGGCCCAGGTGACACTGACAAGCAGGCAATGAGCACTAATCACATAAACAGCAAAACCAGGAGATGTCCCAGGAGCCCAGGTTCTGGTAATCAAGCTTTCCTGGTTTAAATCATTACAACTTGAAATACTTTAGCAGAAACAAAATGTATTTTAACTCCCTAAGGCAAAAAATTAGATTTTAATTTTCCAGGTAAACACTAACATGATTTATATCATAATGTCTTGACTTTAAATTTATGGTGTGAAAAACTGGATATAAAGAGGGATGACAGGCCCTGGCCGGTTTGGCTCAGCGGTTAGAGTGTTGGCCTGCGGTCCTGAGAGACCCGGGTTCGGTTCCCGCTAAGGGCGCGTACCTCGGTTGTAGTTTGTCCCGGGCCCTGGTCGGTTGTGCGGGTGGCAGCCACTCAATGCGTCCCTTTCACATCGATGTTTCTCTCTCTCTCTGTTCCTCTCCCCCCACCCCTCTACCTGAACAAAAGGTGAGGATAAAAATAAATAAATAAGTAAATAAATAAATAAATAAATAAATAAATAAAAATAAAAAAAGAGGGATGACAGTACAAATAATTCAGTTTAAAAGAGTTTTTACAGTCTGGCTGGTGTGGCTCAGTGGCTGAGTGTCGACCCACATACCAAGAGGTTGCCAGTTCGATTCCCCATCAGGGCACATGCCCAGGTTGTGGGCCAAACCCCCAGTGGGGGGCATGCAGGAGGCGGCCAATCAATGTTCTCTCTTATGGATGTTTCTCTCTCTCTCTCCCTTTACCTTCCTCTCTCTCTAAAATCAATAAAGAAAAAAAATTAAAAGAGTTTCTATAGAAAAGTCTGTAAGATATCTACCAAATTCGTAAAAGTGGAAGGAAGTTTTTGAAGGAGGGTTGTAAGAAAAGAAATTTATTTTTCTCAACAGCTACTTCTACACTGCTTCATTTTTGTTTCCACTTGTATTACTTCACAGATTTTTTTTTTTTTTTCCTGTATATGCCCCCTAGCGGGAACCGAACCCGGGACTCCCTGGTCCGTGGGCCAATGCTCCAACCGCTGAGCCAAACCAGCCAGGGCACTTCACTGATTTTTAATATAAAATTCGGTGCACCTACAAATAATAGCCCTATAAGTCAAATTGTTCTAGGGCATTTAGAAAGATCTTAG